TGAAGCCACATTGCTATGAATGAAAGTCAAAGTCAAAGTATATTTATTAAATATAGGCTTAACTTAAGCTCTTATTGAACGTCATCAAAAAATCTACCAGACCACTAAACTAGACCAGCACAGAGAAGAACCGGCAAGAAACTCTGCGGTCTTGTTCTTTTTGTTATTTTTTTTTTGCAACTATACAAACTTATTTAGGTATAAAATCAGCAGCAGCCAGGGGTCTTGCAAGTGCAGAATAAGAGTCATTTCCACACATTCTTGTCCTCGATGTATTCTTCGACATAAAGGCCCTTGCCATTAAGGTAGCTTTTACAAATAGTTTGAATGACTAATATTAATTAGTTGTTTAATTTATTAAACAGCAAGCCGTGGTTCCTTAAATGTCTATATAATCCGTATTTCCCAATGAAAAGATATTTATATCAGAACATTGTTTTCACAGCGTTATCTAGTTTCAAAAAAGTTAAACTTTACAATGGGTTCTACAGGCAAACCTAATTGGATAGTGTAGCCAAAAATTATATAAAAAAATGTAATCAATGTTTCAGGACATATTTACACAGCTAATCTAGTCCCAAACTAATCAAAGCTTGTACTATGAATACTAGATCACTGATAAACATACTTAAATATAATTTTTCTTATAAATAAATACACATTATAGATATATAAAGATTCAGACACAATGTTTTTCCAGTAGTTGGGATCAAACCCAGACTCTCTGGCAAATTCGGCTGTTATAGTATTAGTATAGGAAATTTATAAGTTGTATAAGAAAAAGTTAAAAGTAAACTTATGGCTAAAGCATATTATACTATTGCGGAATATCTTGACGACGCCAATGTGTGGGGTTAATACTGTTGATACTCACGTAGGCTAAAACAAGACTATTATACCTGTACTATTATGTTGTAAGCTGACCTTTTAAAAAAGAGCAACTATCAAGTTTTTTGCCGGTTTCTTCTCAACAGAAACTGCTTTCCGAACCGGTGGTAACTTACGCACATATTAATTTCCTTGTTAAATTTCGATGTTACATAAGAACGCGCAAGCGTCTATGTAAATAAAGATATTTTATTATCATTATTATCATACAAATCAAGCAGTGCTTGTATCTTGGGAGCCAAATTAATTGTCGCTCCAGACTCTTTCGAGTGGACTTTAATATACTGTAAACATGTTTGTTTTTCGTCAATAAATAAGTAAGTGAAATGCTTCTATATTGACTAAAGATATTTAAATTTAAATACAACATTGTTGAAGTTACTTTTAATAAGTTTCCGTGTTAAGAATCTTTTTGGAATTTTCGCAATCTGGCAGAACACACCAATTAAATTTTGAATATTGATTCCAAATTTTAATTGTTATCTGTTTGCCAATGAATTGTTTGGCGTGCTGACTAGGTAGCGACTGTTGTCTGTAGTATTTTTCATTTTTCGTTCAAATTTTTTTTTGTTTGTGTACGGGGCTGATTTCTATAACAGAAGAGGTTTATAAATATAAGTTAAGTTCATAATATTTTAAATGTGTAATAAGTAGGAAAACCGCTCACAAACTGAAAGTTTGGCTTGCGAGACGCCATGATGCGATAGTTGCCCATTTTGAATTTGAAACTGACTTGAATTAAAGCTTAGTGTGTAATTTAAAACAAGTGCGAGTCCGACTTCGTTCGGGTTCCGTAACATTATCTATAAAAACGGCAAAAAATATCATTACTGTTGTATGGGAGCGCCATTTAAATATTTTTTATTCTGTTTTTTTAGTATTTGGTGTCATAGCGGCAACAGAAATACAGCATCTGTGAAAATTTCAACTGTCTAACTATTACGGTACATTAGACAGTCTCGTGACGGACAGATAGACATACAGCGAAGTCTTGATAATGAGGGTCCCATTTCACCCTTTGTGTACGGAACCCATAAAAATCTGAAATGTAATAACTCTGCCAACATAAAAAATCTGACAAGTATGATGCCATAGAAGATTAGTCGCAATAATAAAAATTATTTGCCATGCGACTCTCTCCTGGCTCCATTCTGAATTAATTAACTAGATATTTTGACCTGTTGATCCCTGCTAGAAGATTAGGCTTGTGCCATTCATGAATACGATAAACATCGATTATTTGCACACACTCCAAACACTGCGACCGGTACAAGTGCAAGTCGAGAACCTCGTGCGTTCTACGAGCTATATGGCCGGCCCATCGCCACTTCAGCTACCCATTATATCGCAATAAATATTTCCATTTGTTTTCTATCATACAATAACACAATTTTCTGGAAAATAAGGGCATATACAACTGAGAGTACTAACTTAATTGTCGTCAACCATGTACTTATGGGGGGGGACATCTTCTTTTTCAACTTTTTTATTAAATACCTCAAGGGACTCCTCAAAATTAAATAGAAAATGTATAGTCATAGTAGAAAATGTATAGTAGATGTAGTGAGCTATTTAAAGTCGGCTTTGTTTGTTTCTTATTTATTTTATTTATTTATTTTTATTTAAAAATTTATTGTTTACACCCCAAAATAAGGCCAAACAAAAGGCAAACTTAATGCTAATAAGCATTCTCTTCCAGTCAACCCTGGGAGTAGTGAAAAATTTGACGTAGGTGCAAAACAAAATCCAAAATTCTATTTTGAAAAGATAAATAACAACAAACATATTTCATACATATTTTTTTATGTGAGAATGTAGTGTTCTTTTTTGGAAGAACCTGGCAAACGAGCTGGCGGTTCACCTGACGTTAAGTGATAACTGCCGCAAATGGATATTAACATACTCGTACGGCTGTAGATGCTTTGACATGTTATCAATAAGGGTTCTTCCACGGACGGACCTGCCTCGTGCAACAGCTGTTGCGTTTTAGCACAGTCGTGTGAATAAAAATTCATTAGTTACATAAATCCAGTCCATACGGATTTATGCAACATCACAAAGGGAAAGGAGAACAATAGAGAAACGTACTTGCACGAAGTGCGCGGCATTGCCACTAGTTACGAGTACCCGTAATGTAGGGCAAACGGGTTTCATTATTTAGCCTCACGTTCCTCGCGACTGTGATCTTTCACAGATACTTCTTTCACCTTTGCTAAAAACGCGTCAAGCGCGAGTCGGACTCGCGCACGAAGGGTTCCGTACCATTATGTTACACCGAGAAGAACACACCTAGAGAAGGCAAAATGTTGTTCTAATGTTACATATGTTGGCAACATTAAAACAAGTCGTTCCTTGAGGTCGTTGGCAACACTAAAAGAAGTGTCATTCTATGAGGTATAAATGCAGCTGCACGAAGCGTTTCATGGTGTTCTTCGTCTTCGTCTTCTTCTTTGGCTGTCAAACCAGAAGTATACACGATAGTGCTGCCCAATCGGTATAATAAATTAAATGGTTAGAGTGGTGTTTCATTAGTGATATTAAAGTGATAAAATAAGTAATTATACCAGTGTTATTGTTGTCAAAAGTGAAACTACGGTGATTTGGTAAAAGTATTTATATTTGTACCTTCTTAGCTCGATAAAACAAAGTATAGCTAACACATATACATGACAGTTTAAACTTCTAACTTCATTTTATATTAGCGTGGTGCAACGTTATGGAACATATCACGTGGTTCACACTTAAACGCGAGAGGCAGCGAGCATTTCGCTCCACACTGAATTCTATACACTGGATTCAAACCGGCGACCTCAGTCCGCGATACAAAGCCTCCCACCACACCGCCGCCGCCCGACGAATAAAACGAATCATCCTCCAATTACATTTAACCGTTTGCGTGCGAATTCACTCGCAATAATTGAAACGGTGCTAATGAATGAGTCACTTAATAACATAAGCGTCGCTGTTTAACAAAGCACCCCTATTTTGAGACGCACCCTTGAAAACTGCCCCCTCGGACAGCGTCGCCCGCTTTTATTTAACAAGGAGTTGGGAAATAAAGCTAAGAAACAAAAAAAAATATAAAATGACAACCAGTCAAGAATGGTTGACACGAATGACAACTGTCAAATTTGTCAACCTTCTTCTCCGACATTACATGTTTTTATTTTGATAAATTACACTTAACTTTTTTGTGGATAACTTATTTTGGCTACGTAGCTACGTTCTTGACTTATGTAGGCAGCTTACGAGTATGTATCTAAATATTTAAGAGCAAAATAACAGTCACAAATGCCCACTGCTGGGCAAAGGCCTCAACCTGCCTTGGAACGTAAAGTACCAATGCTTTAAATTATTTAATACTAGCTGTTGTCCGCGAGAATAGGCTGAAGGCGTAACATTCAGACAGAATGAAAGATATAAAAAAATATGTATACAAATTATAGCCTATGACTTATTCTGATGTATAAGCTATATTATTGTAAAGTTTCATTGAAATCCATTCATTTACGACTGTCTTTCACACTTTTTTTTTAATCCGGATTTGTTTTGGGGCATTTTTTCCTTTTTTGGATATGTCGACCCCATTATGACCATCTCATTGCTATACTTATAAATACACTATATCGAAGTTATTTTGATAACACAGAAGCAGCGCAACATAACTTTTTTGCATCACCCGAAATTGGCAGCGATAAGATTGACTTTTTTTTATGCGAAAAGTTGTCAAACGAGCAGACGGTTCACCTGATGTTAAGTGAATACCGCCGCCCATGGACATCTATTACACCCGAGGGTTACAGATGCGTTGAAATCTTTTGAAAATTGGGCTCCGGCTACCCCACTCACCAGACGAAACGCGAAAGTATTTGTCATACTTCCACTTTACGCTGGTCTTCTGTGAGGTCGTGGTACTGACCCGGACGGGCCTGCCCATTCCTGCAACAGCCGAGGCTGCTACGTGGCCCTACCACCGTGACTGCGCAATTCCTCTTACAAGAGTTTGTGTTCAAGGCTTCATTTCCCCTCTCTCCTTTTGTCGTACACACTTGTCCCGCACGAGTCTCGAATCCCGACCAATAGACGACCGTGTCAAGTCTCATCCGTTCCAGGTGCCCCCGATCGACTACTTGCGGCAGGTGACCCTCGACCTGGGCGGCGAGGGGGTGCTGGGCGCGATCAGCGAGCGGCACATGATAAGGCGGGCGCCGCCCACGCACACTCCCCAACCGCGCAGCACAGTTCGCTCCCTTATTAGACGCTTCAACGAGGTAAGCTCCATGCTTTTATGAAACAGCGGTAGCATTGTGTAAGGTTAATTCATATCTATATCTTAAAAAATAATATTTTATCGATTAGTAATCAGTGATACGAATTACTAATTTATATTCGATAATATTGTTCTATCGATTCTCGTTTATATTGTGGCAACACTGTTTCGAGACCTCATATTGTAAAGTGATGATTACAAGTTTAATTTATTAGAATACTGTAATAATTCATATCTATATCTTAAAACATAATATTTTATCGATTAGTTATTTGTGATGCAAATTACTATTTTATATTCGATAATATTGTTCCATCTATTCTGATTTATATTCTGGCAACACTGTTACGAAATGTCATATTGTGAAATGATGATTTTGAGTGGATTCATTATACCTGCAGAGTTCGAACTGAGAGGTTGTCTTATTTAATCCATTTGCATCCTCATAATCTACGTTTATTTTCTGGGATAAAGAACTATCTCCTTTAATTGTATGTTGCAAAGGGCAAGTCCATTCGGGGAAATACCACGAACTCACAGAAGACCGGCGTAAAGTGGCAGTGCGATGTGATATAAATGATGCATGAACGAGATCAATATAAAGGAAAAATCAAAAGTAAACTTACGGCTAAAGCATATTATGGCATGGCGGAATACTTTGACGACGCAAACGTGTGGAGTTAACACTGTTGATACTCACGTAGGCTAAAACAAAACTGTTATACCATTATATTGTAAACTCATAGTTTTAAAAAAGAGCAACTGTTGCGTTTTCTTGCAGTTTCTTCTCAACAGAAACGTTTTGTAAGTAAATAAATTTACTTGCCGTCATAAACAGGTAACTCGAAAATTTACAAGATTCCCATTTTTATGAAAGGTACCTTTCTATCGGTTTCCTTTTCTACCCCATGCCCCTGTGATTAACAACCGACTAGCAAGGAATTCCAAATATGTTATCGAACCATTCCGGGGCGTCTGTACTGCGTTAATTGTAGGAGAATTGATGCAGGTTAATTAGTTGGAGGATTATGGAAAGCTCGCCTTGTTTGTTGAGATCTCCGTAATGTCCTCCCTTTGTGTCTCTAAATCTTTATTAATTTTATTATAATGAAAAAAATCTTTAAAGTTTTCGCTATTTCAATGAGGCACTATTATCTGCACCTATCTGACGAACTTATTTTATTTTTAATTTTTTTTTATTTTAAGACTTCATGCACATAACTCTGTACATAGGCGGACTAAAGATATTTTTAATTTTAATATGAATCTGAAACACCGATTAGAAAAAGCTTCCCTAGAACGCAAGACCCATATGAGAGCTACTCACACACGACTGTCCCCTCCCCTTGAGGTACAATAAAACCAATCGACTTGTTCCTTCCGCATCGCTTGTATGGGCCGCGTATATGGGTTTTTCGTCGAGCGAAAACATTTGGCCGATCTTTGCCCAATAACATTTGGCGGGGAATCAATGTGGCAATCTTTCAAGCGTCCCCCCGTGTGGGGTGACCAAGCGTTTTTTAATCAGCGTGGGATGACCGCTACGACCTTTTAGGGTTCTGTACCCAAAGGGTAAAACGGGACCCTATTACTAAGACTGCGCTGTCTGTCTGTCTGTCTGTCATCAAAGTCAAAATTTCTTTATTCAACATAGGCCTATTTTAAGCTCTTATTGAACGTCAAAAACTACCACCGGTTCACTAAACTAGACCTGCAAGAGAAAAACCGGCAAGAAACTCTGCGGTCATATATATCCTTTTTAATTATTTAAGTATATACAAAAAAATATTTTAGTATTATTTAGAAGGAGCAAGTGCAGAGCAAGAGTCATTTCCACACATCCTTGTCCTCAACGTATTCTACGACATTATATATAGGCCCATTCCATTTAGGTGGCTCTTCCAAAATGTTTGAAATTATTTACGCTTAACTGTTTATGGATGTCAACTATTCTATTATATAAGTTAATACATCTACCAAGAAACGATTTCTTGGTTTTAGCTAGTATAAAACTCAGTATTTCCACCGTGTTACCACGGTCCCGACGCGATGTGGTATGTTTATTTGTAAAAAGGCGTATGTTATTTCTTACATACATAATGTTCTCAAGTATGTATAGCGACGGGTGCGTTAAGGTGTTAATTTGTTTAAAAATATGCCGAAGGGACTCACGTGAACGCAAGCCATAAACATCCCGTATCGATTGCTTCCGGAATACAAATATCTTATCTAAACCGGATGCGGAACCCCTAACTATAACGGTTCATCAGACTGTATCTCACCGTGATAGTTAGATAGTTGAAACTGTCACAGATGATCAGTTACCGCTATAACAACGAATACTAATAAACCGAATAGAAAATGTTTAAGGCCATACAACTCCCATACAACGTACGCAGTTTTTTGCCGTTTTCATAGATACGGTACGGAAACCATCGTGCGCGACTCCGACTCGCTCTTGGCCGGTTTTGTATATGATAACTTTATGGCATACGAGCTGGCGGTTGGCCTGATGTTAAGTGATAACCGCCGCAGGTGGACATTTCCAAGACCCCAGGTTGTAGATGCGTCGCCGTCGTTTAATAAAGTAGGTACCTGTTACCTCACTGACCAGACGAAACGCAGAAGTATAATACTTTTATTTCACGCCGAACTTCTATCAGGCCCGTGATACTTATTTCTAATAAATAAAATTCTCGTGTCACGGTGTTTGTAATTGAACTCCTCCGAAACGGCTTAACCGATTTCCGTGAAATTTTGTTTGCATATTGGCCAGGGTGGAGAATCGGACAACATCTATTTTTCATCCCCCTAAATGTTACGGTTAGTCCACGCCTAATTTTTTTTTTTATTTATTATATAATTTTTTTTGTTTTTATTATTTTATGATACAGCATACATATAGTCGCGGGCAGCAGCTAGTAAATATGTTTATCTGCGTGAGTTTCATCATTTTACCATTCGCAAAGCAACTAAGATTCTAAATAGGTCCCAAATTCTAAAATATCTTTGGAATATCCATTATTATACGAATCGATGGTTACCCCAGCAAGATAAGACCTCATCAAGTTATTGTACTTCTTGCTCTACGGAAATTGCTCAGTAAAAATACGATATACCGTTGTATATATCGAAATACAATTAATCTCAACAATAAATTCAACCTTTTAGGATGGCATAGTTTGATGCTTTATTCCTTAAGAGCGAAGGTAGACCACAGATATCGAAAGAAACACAATATACAAATTCGATCTCTCAGAGCGACCTTATCGAACACACTCAGAGATATTTTTAAAGAGATTAATATACTCACTGTTGCGTCTCAATATGTTTATCGTAATATTTTGTATGTTAGACATAATCTTAATTATTATCCAAAGAATAGTGAAATACAAACTAAATACTAGAAATAAGGACAAAATAACTATAAAATATAAATACAAAAAGTAAATAGGTTAGGGCAAAGTGTGCGCATGTACAATAAAATCCCATAGTCGATAGTGAGCCACTTGATCAATTTAAACGCAAAATTAGAAGTTAAACTTACGGCTAAAGCATATTACACCATTGCGGAATATCTTCTCACGTAGGCTTAAATAAGACGGGCATAGGCCGTACCATTATATTGTAAACTGCTCTTTTTAAAGAAGAGCAACTGTTGAGTTTCTTGTCGGTTTCTTCTCGGTTTCTTCTCAACAGAAACTGCTTCCCGAACCGGTGGTGACTTACGAACATATTAATTTCTACATAAAATTTTAACGTTTCATAAGAACGCGCAAGCGTGTATGTGAATAAAGATATTTTGAATTTGAACCAGCTCTCAAATTCAAATTCAAATTCAAATCATTTATTCATCGAAATAAGAAATATACATTTCATCTATCGATAGTCATTTTTTTAATCTAGCACCGTTTCGTAATGAGGTTCCCCTAACGGAGAAGAAACAGGTGAAAGAAACTCTGTAGGTATCCTCTTTTATTTTTTTTTCCTACATCAGGTTAGCCTAGTGTGCCAAGTTAACTTGGCCGTGCCAAGCCACGAGACCGAGATTAGGAACTAGCGTACCAGTTGCAATGGTGGTTCCTAATCTAGGTCTCCAGAGTCAATAGAAATGAGGCATGTAACGGTGGTAGGGCCACGCAGCAGCCTCGGCTTTTGCACGAATGGGCAGGCTCGTCCGCGTAAGTGCCAAGACCTCACAGAAGACCGGCGTTGAGTGGGAGTCTTGTACTTTCGCGTTTCATCTGGTGAGTGAGGAGCCGGAGCCCAATTGCCAAAAAGATTGTCAACGCATCTGCAAACCCTCGGGTGAAGCATATGCATGAGCGGCGGTATTCACTTAACATCAGGTGAATCGTCTGCTCGTTCGGCAACTTTTCACATAAAAAAAATGTAGGTAAAACTGTGGTAGAATCAAGCAGCTGCCTCTGTTTTTGTACGAATGGGCAGGCTTCTCCGAGAAGTACCAGCGAACAGTAAACCGGCGGGAGGTAGAAGTGGTACACTTTCCCGTTTTTTCTGGTGAGTGAGGTAACCTGGGCCCACCTTTTAATATGTTGGCAATGTATCTGCAATTCATCGTGTGTCGCAGACGTCCATAGGCTGCGGTAATCACTTGGCATCAAGTGAGCCGTCTACTCGTTTGCTAACTTTCAAAAATATCGTTAAAAAAATATATTAAATATATTCCGTAAGCCTTAATTACAGTGTAATACTTTGGGGTGAAATTAAAACATAATTTTTTATGAGCAACGTTTTTGTATAAAACATTCCTCAATTAGCTAATGGACAATGAGTGTCTAAGTAAATTAATGTTTTTTTTAGGGTTCCATACCGAAAGGGTAAAACGGGACTATTATTAGGACTCCGCTGTCTGTCCGTCACCAAGCTGTATCACATGAACCGTGATAGTTAGACAGTTGAAATTTTCACAGATGATATTGTATTTCTGTTGCCGCTATAAAAACAAATACAAAAAACAGATTAAAAAAAATAGTTGTG